CTCCATCCTCTTTGGAACCCCCTTTCAGGTAGTTGAAGGCTGTTTCAGTCCCCTTCCCCTGCCTAATCTGGTGCTCCACTTTCTGCTCTCTGCCTTGTCTCCCTTATCAATCTGCTGTTCTGCTTTTTGCTCCATGCCTGTACTCCTTGGCCAATCTGTTGCTCTGCTTTCTATTTCCTGCCCCCTCCCCAATCTGGCACATGCCACATAGAGAGGCTGTGGGCTGGGCAATCCTACCATAGGTAAATGAGACTGATCTTTTTGACAAAGGCTTCACTGGAATAATGAGTGTTTTTAGGGAAAAAAATCCCTACGTGAAGAAAGAAAACAGTGAGAGAAAGAACACTGGGAATAAAAACCTACTAAAACTCCCATTTAAGTCAACAGAACTGGGATTTCACCCCAGGTTTTTGGTTATCTGAAGTCTTCCATCATGTTGTTTGTTGCTTAGATGCAAACATATTACTTGCAATGGCTAGATGCAAAACAAATCAGCTAACATGCTTAATATACACTGAAGAGGCGTATCCATTTCCATCAACTCAAACATCACTATTGCACTTAGAGGAAGCACACAGAAAGAAGACATTGTATACTGTTGTTTGGTAGCCATAACCTTCTTCTTCAGCAATCCCTCACACTTGAGGATGATTGTTTGCCATGATTATCTTATTTGTGGATCTGAAGATGGCTGATAAGGCCAATCCAGGACACACAGACTCTGCTGCAACTTGGGCGTGTTTCCATGGGTGTGGGTGGCTCCTGATTCTGCTTTTCCATCTCCTGTTGTCATCATAAGGTTTCAAAGCACTGAGATACTTACAGCAGATTCTTCCTCCATTGGGGTGGTTCTGGGCGATAGTCTCCAATGAGGTGATGTTGGAGGAATTCTGGGATCGTCTCTGACTGGTTGTTGTGGGATAGAGTTGAGAGCACTCTCTTAAACAACAGAGTCTTGATTGAGAAGATCTTAAAAATGCTCCTTCCTTTCTTTGATCAGGTCTCCTCAATCCTTATGTCTCAAAGGGTTGGTCCCTGAGTGCTCAGATTGTAGATGGCTTTGGTGACACTGAAAAAACCCCTCACATACCTTGGATGTCAGCGAGATGTTGAATCTCATTCACTCTGTCTTCCCACCATCTGTTCTTCATATGATGGGTCCTCTTTTGGACCTTTGCCTTGGCTTGTTGGTAATTCAATTTCTTTTGCTTGGAGTTAATGTTGTTCGGTCAAGCACAGAAAGACTTGCACTTACAGTCCATCAACTCTCGTCATTCTCATCAAACTAGTCCTGAAGTTTCCTGGTAGAGAATAGAAATGCCTCTTCTCACGTGCTGATAGTGGACTTGAAGGCACCCCAAGTGCTATCGACATTCTCCCATTGTTGTTTATGGCATATTCCACCAGTGCCAGTTTTTTGTTGAGGCACTGGTGGAAGATGTCTCACTTGATTGGGTCCTTGAGTAGTGTGATGTTGATCTTCTGTCGGCATTGCTTCTGCTGCAACTGTCATTTGGGAGCCAGTCTGAATGACATTACCAAATGGATGAGTTGGTGATCTGTCCAGCAATCACCAGCTCCTAGCACAGCTTGCATAATGTGGACATCTTTGTGATCCTGGGTATGAACAATGAGTATAACCTCAGATGTTTGCAAACAGCCCTCCTGGCTGTTTGGAAGTCACATTATTAAAGATCTACTGTCAAAAAAAGCGATCAGAGTACAATTAGTGTTGAGATTTTTAAAATTTAATTAATCACTAATTTACAAAATTCAGCAATTCACAATGTGTTCCTCTGTCTTTAATGTAAACTGGTAAGATTCTGCTGCATGACATTTGAAATTTTACAAATTGCTTCTTGGAAACAGCAACACATAGATGTATTAATAAGGGCAATATTTTAATATATTGTTGAACCAAATACCTGCAAAATCCCAGACATTTAATATCAGCTCTTTCTTCACTTTGCCTTTCACTTGAACCGTCCAGTCCTTTACATCTATACCTACTGTAGCTTTCTGAGCTCCCATATCTGAGCGCTTGCATTTCATTAATTGCTGCAACAGTGTAGTTTTACCACTGCCAGTGTTTCCCACAATCATGAGTTTCATTCTGTTATAAGGGACAGACTTCTTTAGCCGTTGCTGAAGAAACCTGGCAAAAAACATAAATTATAAGTATATTTTACAGATCAAAAGAAGAACAAACAAGGGAACACACACTCAGTTTTCTACTTAATGTCAAGCTTTTAATTTCCATGTGTTATTTTAACAGCATACATTCATCCTGCTTTAAAAAAAATGTTTATCAAAGAACTACCCTGTGAATTTAAGTAGAATGAAAACACATTCGTTGTCAGGAACATCACATATTCAGCTAATAAAGTAAAACTATTACATTTTAATATGGTTATGAACCATGCTGCTTTGAGAAACTACATGTTCAACAAAGCCACAACTAAACTGAGGATCATATGCACAATCCAGGATTATTTTTAAAATAATGAAAACCAAGACAATGTATAAAAACAGATAAGAAAGTCAATAAGCATGGTTACAAACCTTATAATGTCTCTGGCTTTGTATCCCACATGTTTGAAATCTAAATTAAGATTTAGCCCATCTAAAGGAAGATCCCAGATTTTGGACAACTTTCCCATTTCATCTGGAAAGGAACTCAAGTCAGGATTATAACTGACATCCAGAGAGGTCAAGTTTTCAAGGAAGCCAATCTGAGGAGGGATCTGGATAAAGGAAAGGTAATAAACAACTATGCATTTTATAGAAGTGAGGGATTTTTGTGCAGCAGGATGACTGTCTCAAGCAAACATCTGATAAGACCCAACATGTCTGGAATTCCTGCCTTCCAGTTATTATTGTAAAATTATTCCGTACACAAATCTAGTATCTCTGACTGGAGGAGAAAGCAACTCAAAGATGCTATATACATTTTACAAAGAAAAACAAGACAAATATTATATTGTCATAGGAAAATACAATACATACATTAAAAACAGAGATTAAATGTAATATATGCATGGTGACAGACTATTTTTCTATTAGAATCTTCAGTCATAAAAAGTAGTGCAAGAAGGAACAGACTTGATTTAGGGCTTATCTGAAAACAAAAAGTGATCATTTAAAGACCACACATAAATATGAAAAGTATTTTGATTTTTTCATATCTAAAAACTCATGCTTTACCTCTGTTAGCCTGTTATGGGACAGGTGTAGTTTTTCTAGTCTAGACCACACGCATGATTTTTCATTCAAGTCCAAGATGCTTATCTGATTGTGATTAAACAAGAGTTCCCTTAAGTTTAAGGATTTCCAATGCACAGGTCCAGGTAGGTTTATGATTTTATTGTTACTTAAATCTACTGACCGCAAACTGAAAGAAAAAAAGCAGTAAACAAGGGAAAAATTAACAGAAAAAAATAAAATTAAGACTAGCTATAACTATATAAGCACACTACTGTATGAACAAAGGGGGTAGGTATTAGAACACAGCTTTCTGATAGAAATTTTCTTAAAGGAAGTAAAAGTAGAAAGCAACAGTTAATTGCTGATTGGAAAATATTGCAAGATTTTGGAAATAAGTTTTGGATATCTCAGAAAAAATAAGAAAGGAAAAATATAAAGAAATACACTACTTCAGTAAATTATACTTTTAATTATACTTTACATGTGAAATTACATGGCTATGGAAAGCAGCACTCAGATTGTATTGTGTATATTTATTCCAGTGATGGAATCAAAGGTGGCACTTTCAACCTGCTGCACATGCATTCACATTAATACTGGATAGTAACAAAATCACTCATTATTTACACAGTATGACAAGTGTACATGGTGATGGCCAGATTAAGAAAAAAGCACAGAACTAATTTCTGCTTGCACTTACACTGGGTCATTACTGAGAAACTCACCTGAAATCAAAGGAGTTACTCCAGGTTAACAGCCGTATGTCAAAGAGAAAAATTTGGGTTATGACTCGACTGCACAACCAAATAAGCAGACAATATGTAATGGGATATTTTGCTAAAATAAACAAACTTAAGAGTGTTCTTTTAAATTCACCATACTAACATATCTACTTTTATCTCTTCCGTCCATTGTGTCAAATGATTGCTAGCCTTGTTGTTTTCCTACTAACATTTCAGATACATACACAGACTGATGCACTCTCCCAGGTGAAACAGGAATAGAAGTGGCCATAGAGAATCACTTCTGAACATACTCAGAAGGACAAACCAAATGCCCAGGGTGGAGTAAGCTCTAACATCTGTGTAAGTGCCCTAAGTGCCATTTATGTATCTAAGTTCAGGAAGAATGTAATTGCTATTTATGTGACAAAGGGGAGTTGGATTTGGGTCTCTGCATTTCTCTAAAAATTCCTCTGAATATGTATGCTGGAGAAACACACAATGAAACTCCTATTTCCATTTATTTCCAATGTGTAACATATTGGACAAATGCACCTGTGTTTATTTCAATGTGCAACATACCCGGTGCAAGAAACTCATTCAACTCCCTTCCAACTTGCCTGGGCTGGGACAATCGGAGCATAAGAACTGTTACTCCTTCAACAAGTCTATTTTCTTCAGTAAGGTTACATTTTACCATGTTATGTGGCATTAAATTACAACTACACTACCACTAGGCTTGGGAGAAATATTTAGTCCAGATTTATTTACTATGCAAGCACCTGAGTTATTTCAAATATGTCTCAACAACTTTTCT